CGGAACGTCGGACATTGTTCCAAACGACACAAACGCATCGGGAGAGTCGCCAACACATTTGGGGCATGACCCAACCCAAGCAGGTTCTGAATGGCCGACCTGTGGTGTGTACTCACCGTCACATGTGACTGCGCGAGCGTATGGTCACGGTGAGACTCTCCCGTTGGTTTGTTTGCCGATCGACACCTGCTGAACTTTGGGTCTGCGGTGAGAGACGGAAGATTTCATAGAATGTGGCTAACCAACTCGGGGTTGCCATCATCATCATCGACATCACCACTATATTGTCATCATCATCACCATCGACATCCTTGACGTGTCATTCTTGTCATAGTCGTCATTCTTGTCATCGCTGTGATCAACAGCACCATCGTTGATATCCACTCGTCATTGTCGTTATCATCGTGAGTTTAGAATGCACAATACGTGCCTCCCTCACCCTCTCCCTTCATCACATCTCGTCATCACACAGCCACACAGTCACACACCTGCACAGTCACACAGCTGTACAGTCACACAGCTGTACAGTCACACACCTGTACAGCCACACACCTGTACAGCCACACAGACACACAGTCACACACCTGTACAGTCACACAGACACACAGTCACACACCTGTACAGTCACACAGACACACACCTGCACAGTCACACACCTGCACAGTCACACACCTGTACAGTCACACACCTGTACAGCCACACACCTGCACAGTCACACAGACACACAGTCACACACCTGCACAGTCACACAGTCACACACCTGCATAGTCACACACCTGCACAGTCACACACCTGTACAGTCACACACCTGTACAGCCACACACCTGCACAGTCACACAGACACACAGTCACACACCTGTACAGCCACACAGTCACACACCTGCACAGTCACACAGTCACACACCTGCACAGTCACACGACTGTACAGCCACACACCTGCACAGTCACACACCTGTACAGCCACACACCTGCACAGCCACACAGACACATAGTAACACACCTGCACAGTCACACAGTCACACGCCTGCACAGTCACACACCTGTACAGCCACACACCTGCACACCCACACAGTGACACAGCCACACACCTGCACACCTGCACAGTCACATACCTGCACAGTCACACACCTGCACATCCACACAGTCACACACCTGCACAGTCACACAGTCACACACCTGCACAGTCACACAGTCACACACCTACACAATCACACAATCACAGTCACACACCTGCACAGTCACACACCTGCACAGTCACACAGTCACACACCTACACAGCCACACAGTCACACACCTGCACAGTCACACACCTGCACCGTCACACACCTGCATAGTCACACAGTCACACACCTGCACAGTCACACAGTCACACACCTGCACAGTCACACAGTCACACACCTGCACAGTCACACACCTGCACAGTCACACACCTGCACAGCCACACAGTCACACACCTGCACAGTCACACACCTGCACATTCACACACCTGCACAGTCACATGCCTGCACAGTCACACACCTGCACAGTCACACACCTGCACACACCTGCACAGTCACACGCCTGCACAGTCACACACCTGCACAGTCACACACCTGCACAGCCACACATTCACACACCTGCACAGTCACACGCCTGCACAGTCACACACCTGCATAGTCACACACCTGCACAGCCACACATTCACACACCTTCACAGTCACACACCTTCACAGTCACACACCTGCACAGTCACACACCTGCACAGTCACACAGTCACACACCTGCACAGTCACACACCTGCACAGTCACACGCCTGCACAGTCACACATTCACACACCTGCACAGTCACACGCCTGCACAGTCACACACCTGCACAGTCACACACCTGCACAGCCACACATTCACACACCTGCATAGTCACACGCCTGCACAGTTACACACCTGCACAGTCACACACCGGCACAGCCACACATTCACACACCTTCACAATCGCACACCTTCACAGTCACACACCTGCACAGTCACACACCTGCACAGTCACACACCTGCACAGTCACACACCTGCACAGCCACACATTCACACACCTTCACAGTCACACACCTTCACAGTCACACACCTGCACAGTCGCACACCTGCACAGCCACACATTCACACACCTGCACAGTCACACGCCTGCACAGTCACACACCTGCACAGTCACACACCTGCACAGTCACACAGTCACACACCTACACAGCCACACAGTCACACACCTGCACAGTCACACACCTGCACCGTCACACACCTGCATAGTCACACAGTCACACACCTGCACAGTCACACAGTCACACACCTGCACAGTCACACAGTCACACACCTGCACAGTCACACACCTGCACAGCCACACAGTCACACACCTGCACAGTCACACACCTGCACAGCCACACAGTCACACACCTGCACAGTCACACACCTGCACATTCACACACCTGCACAGTCACACGCCTGCACAGTCACACACCTGCACAGTCACACACCTGCACACACCTGCACAGTCACACGCCTGCACAGTCACACACCTGCACAGTCACACACCTGCACAGCCACACATTCACACACCTACACAGTCACACGCCTGCACAGTCACACACCTGCATAGTCACACACCTGCACAGCCACACATTCACACACCTTCACAGTCACACACCTTCACAGTCACAAACCTGCACAGTCACACACCTGCACAGTCACACAGTCACACACCTGCACAGTCACACACCTGCACAGTCACACGCCTGCACAGTCACACACCTGCACAGTCACACACCTGCACAGCCACACATTCACACACCTGCACAGTCACACGCCTGCACAGTCACACACCTGCACAGTCACACACCTGCACAGCCACACATTCACACACCTGCATAGTCACACGCCTGCACAGTTACACACCTGCACGGTCACACACCTGCACAGCCACACATTCACACACCTTCACAATCGCACACCTTCACAGTCACACACCTGCACAGTCACACACCTGCACAATCACACACCTGCACAGTCACACACCTGCACAGCCACACATTCACACACCTTCACAGTCACACACCTTCACAGTCACACACCTGCACAGTCGCACACCTGCACAGCCACACATTCACACACCTGCACAGTCACACGCCTGCACAGTCACACGCCTGCACAGTCACACACCTGCACAGTCACACATCTGCACAGTCACACAGTCACACACCTGCACAGTCACACACCTGCACAGTCACACACCTGCACAGTCACACGCCTGCACAGTCACACGCCTGCACAGTCACATGCCTGCACAGTCACACACCTGCACAGCCACACAGTCACACGCCTGCACAGTCATACACCTGCACAGTCACACGCCTGCACAGTCACATGCCTGCACAGTCACACACCTGCACAGCCACACAGTCACACGCCTGCACAGTCACACACCTGCACAGTCACACGCCTGCACAGTCACACACCTGCACAGCCACACAGTCACACACCTGCACAGTCACACGCCTGCACAGTCACATGCCTGCACAGTCACACACCTGCACAGCCACACAGTCACACGCCTGCACAGTCACACACCTGCACAGTCACACGCCTGCACAGTCACACACCTGCACAGCCACACAGTCACACACCTGCACAGTCACACGCCTGCACAGTCACATGCCTGCAGAGTCACACACCTGCACAGCCACACAGTCACACGCCTGCACAGTCACACACCTGCACAGTCACACGCCTGCACAGTCACACACCTGCACAGTCACACGCCTGCACAGTCACACACCTGCACAGCCACACAGTCACACACCTGCACAGTCACACGCCTGCACAGTCACACACCTGCACAGCCGTGCCAACTGGGTCCCCACGCTGTCATTGCGTTGCATTTTTCTACCGGTCCGACGGAATCTTGGCGCGGGTGGCACCACGTTGGGGTGGGGGGGGCTGGGTGGGTGGGGGTGTGTGGGGGGCTGGGTGGGTGGGGGTGTGTGGGGTGACGGCAGCCCGAGCGCCACGGCTAATGGCCTGGTCTGTGCCCTCCCCCCTGACCACCCCCCCCCCCACCCACCCCCCACCCACCCCCTACCCACCACCCACCCCCCACCCACCCCCCACCCACCCCCCACCCATCACCCACCCACCCCCCACCTACCCACCCCCTACCTACCCACCCCCTACCTACCCACCCCGGACCCACCCCCGACCCACCCCCGACCCACCCCCCACCCACCCCCCACCCACCCCCCCCCCACCCCACACCCACCCCCCACCCACCCCTTAACCGCCCCCTACCCACCCCCGACCCACCCCCCACCCACCCACCCCCCACCCACCCCCCACCCACCCCCCACCCACCCCCTACCCACCCCCCTTCCCACCTTCCCCCCCTTCCACCTCCCCAGTCCCAGCTGCCCACTGCTACAAAACTTTTGTGCTGAGCTCGGGAAAAGTGATGCAGAGTGGGGAGCACGGAGCGCGGAGTGCGAAGCACTAACCCGGAGCGGAGTGTGGGCAGTGTGGAGCCGGGAGTGGTGTCGGTGCGGTTATGCAGGAGAACACTGCAGCATGGGCAAGGCGTGGTGGAGCACTGCTGCTGCTGCTGCTGGGAATCCCGGGGGTCTTAATCTGGGGCAGCTCACGCCGCCCTTCCCTCAACCGTGGATGGCTGGGGGGGGGGGGGGGGGGTTGGCTGAACCCCACTGCTGAAAGCTCAGCTCCCCCTTCTAGAGTGTTACCGTCACGTCAACAAATGTGGGGATGGTATTGAACACGCGTAGCGGTTTCTCTTCAGCCTTGGCTCACGTGACACCCTGGAGAGTGCCGTCTGTTGCTGGCAGCTTGACAGCCGGGGCCTTTGGGCCAGGTGGGTTGATGACGTCTCTGGGTCGCGCGGACCATGGCGGTGGCTCGGGCGCGGTCGGCTCGTGGCACGGGTCGCGCCCTCCGACGACACCGTAACGCTCGCTCGCGCCTCCTCCCGCGGGCGCAGGCCGCTTTGCGTTCGTGCCACTGGCCGGGAAGCCCGAGGGCTCGCGAGGCCGCCTCGCCGTGCCGCCGCTGCGCGAGAACGACACGCACTGCGTCGACTTCAGCTTCCACCTGTCGGCGGGCGGCGCCTCCTCCTCGTCCTCCTCGCCCGCGACGCTCGCGCCGGCGCTGAACGTGTACGCCCGCGTGAACGGGCGTGCGCTGGCAGGCCCCGTGTGGAACTCGAGCCAGGCGACGGGCCGCGGCTGGGTGCGCGCCGAGATCGCCGTCAGCACCTTCTGGCCCAACAGCTACCAGGTGAGCGGCACACAGAGAGAGGTGGAACCATCACATTGGTATGCTGCTCCCCACCTAGAGATCAATAACTTTATTGAATGAGTGGAGACCCAGATCCAGCATCCTGGACCTCTGTGTATCGTTTCCGACGCACTATGGCACTACTCAGCTGAAATTAAAAGTAACGCGTTAATTATGAATGGGCGGCAACCTCGTTAAGCACACGCGAACGCACGTGCGCACAAAGACAAATATCCTCCGTATAGCCTTGACGGACTGTTGGGGCAAGTGCTGTCAGCGAGCACCTATGAAGACCGGTAGGTGGGTGGCCAACACCATGACCTGCCGTCTTTGTCTTCCCAGTGCTAATGTGTGCACAACACACCGGGTACTCATTTGAGACTGAATCGACTTAGGGAAGGCTCATTATCGTCAGTGGTGTTGGCCCTGAATGGGAATTAAATTCGGGTAACCGGTTTCATAGCCCAGCATGCTAACGCTACACTACCACTCCCCATATGCACACACGCGTGGGAATACTCTGAATAATCTTAAACATAACCAAGGCTCTGAAGTTGCAGCCAAAGTCTTCAGATTTCCAACAGGGCAGTGAGTGGAGTGAGTAGTCGTGTTTGTTGCATCCGTGGTTTAACCCAGTGGTCAAATAGACCCAAAGAGACGCGTGTGGTGGCACCTGTGCCTGGCAGCGGAAGTGCCTGGGTTCGATTCCCAATCCGGGGACGCCTTTCTGTGGAGAGTTCACGTGTTCGCGCCCTGCTCGCTATCTAGGGGTTCTCTCCGGGTTTTGCGAGTTTCCCCACAGCCACTGGCCCATCGCCAGCCAGGCGCCGGGTCACCTGGTGGCTGCACAGGGCCAGCTGCCGCTTGGGGGCTCCACGCTAAGAGACGTTCCCTTACACGGTGGAGCGTAGCCTCCCGTGACCCACACTCGTGACCTCCCGTGACCCACACTCGTGACCTCCCGTGACCCACACTCGTGACCTCCCGTGACCCACACTCGTGAACTCCCGTGACCCACACTCGTGACCTCCCGTGACCCACACTCGTGACCTCCACCCGTGACCTCCGCCCGTGACCTCCGCCCGTGACCTCCGTCTCGTTGCAGGTGGTGTTTGAGGCGGTGGCGGGAAGCAGTGGCGCTGGCTTCGTTGCCGTGGACGACGTGCAGGTGCTCAGCTACCCCTGCAGTGAGTCTCCCCCCCTCCTGCTCCTCTGCTGCTCCCACAGTCTGGATGCCCCTTCCCTCAGCCATCCGTGCTGCCGACTCCCTGCCCCCCATTCAAGTCCAGGCTCAAGTCCCTTCCTTTTTCCAATTTGCCTGCAACTGACTGCCCCTCTCTCTCTCTATTCCCATCGAGTAGGAGAGCCATATGTGAGACTAGAGGTGATGGTGTGGTTGAGCGAGTGCACAGTTGATCTGTGTGTGCATCTGGGCGTGTGTCTGCGTGTGTCTGCATGTGTGTGTCTACGTGTTTGTCTGCTTGTGTGTGTGTGGGTCCACCTGTACGCATTGACTCTGAGTGCTCACGCACGCGCTCGCTCGCACCGCCCAGACCGCGCGGCACACAAACGCCCCCGCAGTTTTGACGACACCTGGGCTCGCCTATCCGTGAATTCCAAATTATCTCCGATTTTTCGCCACTCGCAAAAACGTTTCGCACTTTGGAGATAATTGCGCGCGGCGTCAGCTGCTTTCTTCGGCGGCAGCGGCGTTCGGATTGAGCGCTCGCTCGGCGCTCGCTCGGCTCGGAGCGATCGCGGAGGGAGCTCCGTCTGTCGCGCTCGCTTCTCCATCGGCACTCGGCGCTAACGAGCGGGAGAAAGTGACGCAGGATTTAGCCGAGAAATATTTAACGATGGCCCCCACCAATAAACACCCCCTCCAGTAAAACAAACTCAATGCGCGCAAAAAATTAATGGAGCATCGCCTGCCCATGACGGCGGCGGCAACGCTCACTCGCTCACTCGTGTGCAGCGCTGCCACGGTGACTACGACGGGGACGCGGTGCGGGGAGCCGCTCTTCCACCACTTAGCTGCGACGTCGTGTCTCTGTGTGTGTAGTATGTGCCTATGGAGACAAAGGCGGCCAGGCGTGGTGCTGGCCACCCACCCCCTCCTGTGCCATGCCGGCCTTCATCGGTGCTCGTGAACAGCAGTTGCCTCAACAGTTTGTTAAGGGCTACGAGCGGATCTTTGTTTCTCCGTGTGTAGTGTGTGTCTGTGTGCGTAGTGCGTTTCTTTGTGTATTGTGTGTATGTGTTTCTAGTGTGTGTGTCTGTATCTGTGTGTATAGTGTGTGTGTGTCTGTGTGTAATCTCTCCATATAGTGCGCGTCCCTCTGTGTACATTACTAGGCGCTCGCTAGCAGCACTTGCCCCAAAAGCATGTGTGGGCTACACAGGGGACCTTTGTCTTTGTGCATGTTTGCACCGGTCTTCATTCGCAGCCACAAACTGCCAAACCGTGAACCAGGATTTACCAACAACACTATTCTATGCTACAACCACCCAGCGAATGTCAAAACGTATCTTTCTTGTTCCCCCTGTGGGTTCCATCCCTCTCGCTCGCTCGCTCTATCTGCCCCTCTCTACTCGCTCGCTCACTCGCTAGCTCGGACAGCTGGTTTCATTTCGTGTAATTAATTCAAATTGCGTGGAACTTCGCCAGCGGTCCGAGCCAGCGCCTCGCTGAGACACAAGCCGTGTTTCTCTCCAACGCTGAGACACAAGCCGTGTTTCTCTCCAACGCCGAGACACAAGCCGTGTTTCTCTCCAACGCCGAGACACAAGCTGTGTTTCTCTCCAACGCTGAGACACAAGCTGTGTTTCTCCCTAACGCTGAGACACAAGCTGTGTTTCTCTCCAACGCTGAGTCACAAGCCGTGTTTCTCTCCAACGCTGAGACACAAGCCGTGTTTCTCTCCAACGCCGAGACGCAAGCTGTGTTTCTCTCCCAACGCTGAGACACAAGCTGTGTTTCTCTCCAACGCTGAGTCACAATCCGTGTTTCTCCCCAGCGCTGAGACATAATCCGTGTTTCTCTCCAACGCTGAGACACAAGCTGTGTTTCTCGCCAACGCTGAGACACAATCCGTGTTTCTCCCCAACGCTGAGACACAAGCCATGTTTCTCCCCAACGCTGAGACACAATCCGTGTTTCTCCCCAACGCTGAGACACAATCCGTGTTTCTCTCCAACGCTGAGACACAAGCCGTGTTTCTCTCCCAACGCTGAGACACAATCCGTGTTTCTCCCCAACGCTGAGACACAAGCCGTGTTTCTCTCCAACGCTGAGACACAAGCTGTGTTTCTCCCCAACGCCGAGACACAAGCCGTGTTTCTCCCCAATGCTGAGACACAAGCTGTGTTTCTCTCCCAACGCTGAGACACAAGCCGTGTTTCTCCCCAACGCTGAGACACAAGCCGTGTTTCTCCCCAACGCCGAGACACAAGCCGTGTTTCTCCCCAACGCTGAGACACAAGCTGTGTTTCTCTCCCAACGCTGAGACACAATCCGTGTTTCTCCCCAACGCTGAGACACAAGCCATGTTTCTCCCCAACGCTGAGACACAATCCGTGTTTCTCCCCAACTCTGAGACACAATCCGTGTTTCTCTCCAACGCTGAGACACAAGCCGTGTTTCTCTCCCAACGCTGAGACACAATCCGTGTTTCTCCCCAACGCTGAGTCACAAGCTGTGTTTCTCCCCAACGCTGAGACACAAGCCGTGTTTCTCTCCAACGCTGAGACACAAGCTGTGTTTCTCCCCAACGCCGAGACACAAGCCGTGTTTCTCCCCAACGCTGAGACACAAGCTGTGTTTCTCTCCCAACGCTGAGACACAAGCCGTGTTTCTCTCCAACGCTGAGACACAAGCTGTGTTTCTCTCCAACGCTGAGACACAAGCCGTGTTTCTCCCCAACTCCGAGACACAAGCCGTGTTTCTCCCCAACGCTGAGACACAAGCTGTGTTTCTCTCCCAACGCTGAGACACAAGCCGTGTTTCTCCCCAACGCTGAGACACAATCCGTGTTTCTCCCCAACGCTGAGACACAATCCGTGTTTCTCTCCAACGCTGTGTGGAGGCTGCGGCTGCTGCCCGGTGGGGGTGGTGGTTGTGATTGTGCCGCTGCGTGGTAGTGGTGGTGGTTGTGTTGCCGCGTGGTGGTGGTGATGGTGGCAAGAGGCGCCGAGGGAACGTCAGGTGGTGAATTCCTACAATGAGAATAATTATTATAATCATTATGCAGATTACAATAATGTTGATGATTGCAACGATGATGATAATGATATAACGATGATGTGCAATAATTACAAGGCCAAGCGAAGGCCCTGCCGGGGGACACAGAAGGCCAAGCGAAGGCCCTGCTGGGGGACACAGAAGGCCAAGCAAAGGTCCTGCCATAGGACACAGAAGACCACGCGAAGGTCCTGCCATAGGAGATAGAAGGCCATGCGAAGGCCCTGCCATAGGACACAGAAGGCCATGCGAAGGCCCTGCCGTAGGTCACAGAAGGCCGTGTGAAGGCCCTGCCGGGGGACACAGAAGACCAAGCGAAGGCCCTACCGTAGGACACAGCAAGCCATGCGAAGGCCCTGCCATAGGACACAGAAGGCCAAGCGAAGGCCCTGCCGTAGGACACAGAAGGCCAAGCGAAGGCCCTGCCGTAGGACACAGAAGGCCATGCGAAGGCCCTGCCGTAGGACACAGAAGGCCAAGCGAAGGCCCTGCCATAGGACACAGAAGGTCAAGCGAAGGCCCTGCCGTAGGACATAGAAGGCCAAGCGAAGGCCCTGCCGTAGGACACAGAAGGCCATGCGAAGGCCCTGCCATAGGACACAGAAGGCCAAGCGAAGGCCCTGCCGTAGGACACAGAAGGCCAAGCGAAGGCCCTGCCGTAGGACACAGAAGGCCAAGCGAAGGCCCTGCCAGGGAACACAGAAGGCCAAGCGAAGGCCCTGCCGTAGGACACAGAAGGCCAAGCAAAGGCCCTGCCGTAGGACACAGAAGGCCATGCGAAGGCCCTGCCGTAGGACACAGAAGGCCATGCGAAGGCCATGCGAAGGCCCTGCCATAGGACACAGAAGGCCAAGCGAAGGCCCTGCCGTAGGACACAGAAGGCCAAGCGAAGGCCCTGCCGTAGGACACAGAAGGCCAAGCGAAGGCCCTGCCAGGGAACACAGAAGGCCAAGCGAAGGCCCTGCCGTAGGACACAGAAGGCCAAGCAAAGGCCCTGCCGTAGGACACAGAAGGCCATGCGAAGGCCCTGCCATAGGACACAGAAGGCCAAGCAAAGGCCCTGCCGTAGGACACAGAAGGCCAAGCGAAGGCCCTGCCAGGGGACACAGAAGGCCAAGCGAAGGCCCTGCGATAGGACACAGAAGGCCAAACGAAGGCCCTGCCAGGGGACACAGAAGGCCAAGCGAAGGCCCTGCCATAGGACACAGAAGGCCAAGCGAAGGCCCTGCCAGGGGACACAGAAGGTCAAGCGAAGGCCCTGCGATAGGACACAGAAGGCCAAACGAAGGCCCTGCCAGGGGACACAGAAGGCCAAGCGAAGGCCCTGCCATAGGACACAGAAGGCCGCGCAAAGGCCCCGAGTCTTCCTCCTTCTCCCGTTAAATCGGCATCGCTTTACCCTGACCCCCGGGGCGGCGTGATGGACAGATATTGCTGGCTCCACGCCGGTGATTTACGCCGTGGTAAAAAAAAAACTTCCATTTTTGTCAGAAAATCCGTGCGTCTCTCAAAGGGAGGTGATGGAGGGCGGCACGGCAGCCATTTCGCTTTGTTCCCCGAGTCAGGACTCCCCGGGTGTGGGCGCAGCAATAAAACAAAAATAAATTCACGCGGATCGCGCTTTAAAAGCAAATGGCTCGGCGCCGTGACCAGAATTATTGCTGCCTGCCTGCCCGCCTGTTTTTTTTCTAGTAAATGTGCCAAAACCTTGCGGCTGCCCACACCCTGCCGAGTTAACGAAGAAAACGGAACCAGAAAGTGAAAAGTGTGCGTAAAGACGCAGGCGGAGATGCACGCATCGGCCCTACGTGGCGAGACAAACAACGGAAGACGCGGATCGCAGAGAGCGTGGGTGGGCGAGACAGAGACGTCGTGTTGACCGTTACGGAAGGCTGGGGCAGGGCACGGGCACGGCTTGAAGGGTTGATGGCCGGTGGTCGAGACTAAAGAAAGCATCCTTGAGGACGCCACCGCGGGGAGACGGAGCGACTGAGTTGCCACGCTTGCCAGGTGGATCGTTACAACGCAGGACCGTGAACCATGGCGATGGCTTGAGGGAGGCATTCGTCCAGCAGTGGATAAATCGTGGCCGATGATGATCACAAATCTCTAACTCTTGCCCCCCCCCCCCACTCTCGCACATACAGACAAGGCCCCCCACTTCCTGCGGTTGGGGAACGTGGAGGTGAACGCGGGGCAGAACGCGACGTTCCAGTGCATCGCGACGGGACGGAACTCAGGGCCCACACGCCTCGCGCTGCAGGTGAGGGCTCCACTCCCCTCTCTCTCGTCTCCGTTGGCTCGCTCACACGGCAAAGCCTCCCCTGCCTCGGGACTCGTTCTCAGGGGGCGCGTGGGAGCTGCGGTGGGGCGCGTTGGAGGTGCGGTGGGGCGCGTTGGAGGTGCGCTGAGTGCAGGTGTAGGGAATGCTGTTTGGGCGTTTTTGTTTCGGTAATTTAATTTAGTTTATTTAATACATATACTTATATAAAAATGATATTTTGCATGTTTCTCTGCACCCACCTCTCAACTAACCCGTCACTGTGCTACGCTACAAAGAACATTTACGATTTTGTAGAAACAGTCAAATCTTGGTTATTTAGGGTAAAGGCTGACGAGGGGAGGGTGGCGCCAGATGAAATTAAACCACGAATCGCGCCCTGGCGATGTTTTGGCTGACCGTAGCAGCGTGCTCGGGGTTCACGTGATCTCGTCTTGTTTTATAATCGCCTCCGTACACTGCGGGCGAGCGGTGGAACGCGTTCCACGTTAACCGATCGCAACGGGAACCGTCGGCGCTCGCCCACGTGTCCACGCTCCCGTGGTCGCCGGGTTGCGGACCCTCGACGAGTGAGGAGCGGCCCGTAGTCAGCCCGCAGTGCGAACACGCAGGAGCTCGCTCTGTTCGCGAGCTCATTTCATTGGCAGCCCGGATCAGAAGCGGCGGTTAAATTGTATTGTACTGTATTGTACTGTACCGTATTGTACTGTACTGTATTGTACCGTATTGTATTGTACCGTACCGTATTGTATTGTACCGTATTGTATTGTACTGTATTGTACCGTATTGTATTGTACCGTATTGTACCGTATTGTATTGTACCGTATTGTACCGTATTGTATTGTACCGTATTGTACTGTATTGTATTGTACCGTATTGTACCGTAATGTATTGTACCGTATTGTACCGTATTGTATTGTACCGTATTGTATTGTACCGTATTGTATTGTACCGTATTGTATTGTATTGTACCGTATTGTACTGTACCGTATTGTATTGTACCGTATTGTACCGTAATGTATTGTACTCTATTGTATTGTGCAGCTCTCTGTCGCTGTTCGGTGAGATGTCCGACGTTTCGCTCTGCATGCCAGGACGGGGCTTCTTCAGGAACTGAACACCGAACAGGAGCCCAATTGAGTTCCTGTAGAAGCTCCCAGAATGTGGGGTGAAACGTTAGACATCACGCCCAACGACGCGAGTGCAACCCAAACCGAGGGGTGGGGGAGAGCTTGACTACATTTGGATCCAAACTGAATTCCCGTCGAATGTGCGTGGTTGTCTCTGCTGTGTTATTTCCCGAGGCGGCTGTCTGCGGCGGCTTTGCTGCGATGGCTCCCCCCTTTCTCCTCCCCCTTCAGGAGCGCTTCGAGCAAAGCCGCCCGAGGAGACCGCCGCGCCGTAAACTCGCGGCACGATCCTGCGTAACGCCGCCTTCATTTCCTTAATTGGGTTTGGAGTTTGTTGTGATTGATTTCCTCGGACCCTCTCCGTCGGGCAGAGAGAGAGAGAGATAATCTAATGCCGGCGGAGGCCGTGTCTCCCGGCGAGCGGCGAAAATGAGATTACGCGGACGGTGCCGCCGCCACGGAGACGTGCGGGAGAAGTGCGGGAGACGCGGAGAGCTCGATCGAGTTCGAGACGAGAACAGCGTCGTCATCGTCAGTGGCAGCAGTGTTATCATCACCATCGTCGTCACGAGTGCCGTCATCGGTATCATTAGCAGTGGCATTATATCACTGTCATCAGTTACATAATCAGCATTGGCATTCTCATCATAATTAGTGTTATTGTCATCAGTAGTGCAGTGGCATTATCAGCGTCTTGATTATCAGCAGCAGCAGCAGCATCATGAGCCCGCGGCAGCTCTGGCAGTTAGAATGTGCGCCGCATCATCTCATACCGACCACACAGGGTCTCATCGTCATCCTCGTCATTAGCCTCGATCATTCCGCTGCTGGACGAAGGCCTCCCAAAGGTGTCGCCTTCAATCGCGATTCCGCAGCGCAACGATCCGGCCAGCACCTTCAGCCGATTTCGTGTCTCCACCTCTCGGCTGCCGCTCCGCGTTTAGTCTCGACTACGGGGCGTCATCCCTCCTCGCCGTGGCGAATCGTGGCCCAAGCCAGGCCTGGCTCTGTCACAGCCCTGACTGCGCAAGTCGTAACGCGCTGCAGTGACAATGGAGTCGTCGCTGTAACTTCAGGTGCAAATGCTGCTGCTGTTATTATAATTGGCGGTGGCCGCTTGGGTGAGGCCCTTCATCCGGCGGTGGATTGATCGTAGCTGACGATAATAGTTTGTAACCGTAACCACCGACGGCATGCGTGGCCCAAGCCCAGCTAACGTCCCGTGATTGTTTCCCGAGAGAATCCCACGCAAGGCAATTAGATCTCGCGCGAGATCGCCGCGTTGCGCCGATCACCCGTCTCCCGGGCGAGGGAAGCGAACGCGTTAATCCGGCGGCGTCGAGAAGCGGGAAGCGAGGAGTGAGCAAGGCCGAGCATCACCTCCGCATCCTCCCCCCTGCCAATTAACGGCCGTGGATGAAAGGCGAAATTCCCAGAAAGATGCGATCGACAGAGACGCCGGGCCCCACTCGAAGCCACTAATTGCGCGATCGACCCACTTAAAGGACACTTGCGCTTCACAAATTCATTTTGAATGCCACTCGCAATCAATCCTCTACCCCCCCACCTTCCCAAGTTACAACAAAAAAACTAAAGGAAACTTGTGAAGGTGCGCCGAGGGGATGGCCAGGAGTGGGGACTGGCCAGCGCACCGCCGTGTACTGTCGTGTCCTGCCGCGGACTGTCAGTGCTGCCGAGTCGAGGCACGTGGGGCCTGCCCGGTGTGCCCCGTGGCCACGCCAGCACTCGTCGTTATTACGTAAACGAGTGGCAGCATGAACGAACATCACGATGATGACGAGGAGGATGACGAGGAGGATGCTGATGATGAGTGCCACCTCGCTGCGCGGTCTAATTAAGGGAGGGTAAACAGTTGATCCTTTGTGTTTGTGTTTAAGGGGATTCTAAAAGCGTCGTACTGGAACAGTACAACACCGGAAACACGGCCCGTTATGTGTCACTACGACTCGTGTGTGTGTGTGTGTGTTACTGCAATTCATGTGTGTGTGTCACTACGACTCGTGTGTGTGTGTCACTACGACTCGTGTGTGTGTGTGTGTGTCACTACGACTCTGTGTGTGTGTGTCACTACGACTCGTGTGTGTGTGTCACTACGACTCGTGTGTGTGTGTGTGTGTCGCTACGACTCGTGTGTGTGTGTGTGTTACTACGACTCGTGTGTGTGTGTGTGTTACTGCAATTCATGTGTGTGTGTCACTACGACTCGTGTGTGTGTGTGCGTGTCGCTACGACTCGTGTGTGTGTGTGTGTGTCACTACGACTCGTGTGTGTGTGTCACTACGACTCGTGTGTGTGTGTGTGTCACTACGACTCGTGTGTGTGTGTGTTACTGCAATTCATGTGTGTGTGTCACTACGACTCGTGTGTGTGTGTCACTACGACTCGCGTGTGTTTGTGTGTGTTACTACGACTCGTGTGTGTGTGTTTGTTACTACGACTCGTGTGTGTGTGTGTGTCACTACGACTCGTGTGTGTGTCACTACGACTCGTGTGTGTGTGTGTTACTACGACTCGTGTGTGTGTGTTACTGCAATTCATGTGTGTGTGTTACTACGACTCGTGTGTGTGTGTGTTACTACGACTCGTGTGTGTGTGTATGTGTTACTACGACTCGTGTGTGTGTGTGTGTGTCACTACGACTCGTGTGTGTGTGTGTTACTACGACTCGTGTGTGTGTGTGTGTGTTACTACGACTCGTGTGTGTGTGTGTATGTGTTACTACGACTCGTGTGTGTGTGTGTGTGTCACTACGACTCGTGTGTGTGTGTCACTACGACTCGTGTGTGTCACTACGACTCTGTGTGTGTGTTACTACGACTCGTGTGTGTGTGTGTCACTACGACTCGTGTGTGTGTTACTGTAATTCATGTGTGTGTGTTACTACGACTCTGTGTGTGTGTGTGTTACTACGACTCTGTTTGCGTGTGTGTCTTCAGCACGGGTGTTTTTGTGCCATCAGGGTGATTGCGGCTTTGATTGCGCTCTCCGTGTGAAGTAGAGGTTAAACTCAAAACCCTCGGCCACTTTCGTTTGGGAAACGAAAGCGTTAACCGCCGCACGCGTCTGCGTCCCTGCGTCACGCTCCTCCATGTGATACAACAAGAAATCCCTCTCCGTACAACTGTTCTCTCTCTTGCTCGCTCACCCGCTCGCTCACCCGCTCGCTCACCCGCTCTCTCTATCTCACCCGGTCACTCGCTCGTACACTCACCCACTTCCTCTCGCTCACACGCGCGCTCACACGCGCGCTCGTCCACTCGCGGGCCCCTGGGGTGACGCGTCGGGTCGCCGCGTGCCTCGTGGGTGCTGCGCTCTAACCTGGCGGCGCTGCCTTCAAAGCGGCGGCGGTGGCGCGGCTATCGGGAATCCTCACGCTCGCGCGACACGGCTGCCACGCCACGGTGCGGGAGAGCTCCCCTCGGAGAGGCAGAGCGTGAGGCCGTGAGCGAGCGAGTCATTGAGTGGCAAGAGGGTGAGAGGTTGAGCGAGGTGATTGAGAGAGAGGGTGAGTGAGTGAGCAAGTGAGCGAGAAAGTGGTTGAGCGAATTAGTGAGAGTAATTGGATTAAACAATTCTTGAGTGGGCGAGTGAGCAAGTGACGGGGTGAGTGAGATGGTGAGCGAATGAATTGAGCGAGCCCCGAATTGCTGGGATAAACGCACAGGAATAGTGCCGCTTCGCCAGGAGCAGCGGGCGTGGCGATACCGCGAGGTCCCAATCCCGGTGCTCGATGGCGCGGCCGTCAATCGCGGCGAGCGCGCTCGTAATCCACCCCACGTCAGAGTTCCATTTCCGACGCGGACTGAAGAATCCGGCTGGAGAGGAGTGGGG